AGTTGTATATTTGATAGCATTCATCTACAGAAGATCCACCACTAAGTAAATCATCTACATTTTTACATACAACAAAACCAATTCAAGTATATCAATAGTTTTAAAAGTATGACAAAATTTTTTTTTTAAATTACTAAAACATAATTTTATATCTAAAAAAATTGAATTGTACATAACATATATAATAATGTAAAAATGTAATATTTAGTTTACAATGTGTTAATAAAAACCAAACTGAGCTTAGATTAAGATTTGAAAAGTTAGTAATATATACGAATGACACGGTACGCAGCAGCAGACAGTACAAAGTACAGGCACCGCCACGACCGAGCTACGACTTTATCAACCACCACGACGGGTGACAACGACACGACATCGTCGACTCTCCCTCCACACCGGAAAGGCTAGGCGGGACGGGAAGACAAGTCGTGCCGGACGAGTACCGGCGTCGCCGGGCTCTCTCTCGTTTTYCGACCGTCGTACGACCGAGACGCCTCGCCTACGCATATATAACGAAATCACGACCGATCGACGCAAAAACCGCGTGACTGTTCCAACGGTAATAATCGATCGACCTGTACACGCGTACCAGTGTTACTTAGTGATTAAACCACAATAAAAACCATACCACAAATTAGTGATTATATTTTGTCTCTTTTTTTCACTACCTCACCACCTGCACTTTTGAGTAGCGTCCGGCCTTCCGCGGACCACCATCACCGTCATCACCGCCGAGGCCGTGACAAATTGGCTCCCCGCAGAGGAATTCACCCAGTCAACCTAACCTCAAGACAGCGGAAAAGTAAGAGTTTTCACGCTGACACATACCTCGGGGAATTGCTTATATTACATTAGTATTAAGATAGTTAACCAGGAGTGTGTTTGCCAGTAAGCTAGGATTCCCAAGTTAGTATTACGTAACAACTTAATATAGTACGTAACAGGGAATTCCGCGCGACTGTGCATAACCGTGATACGGATCGGGAAGTAGTGATATAACAAACACCACCCCTCCKCRACGCATACCTCTTCATCCCACAAAAATTACTGCCGAAAATAGCGCAGCGTATGGGTACAACATACAAACCGGTATCGCTGTCGTCGTCGTAAGCCGCCGCCGCACACCACCGTTGTCGACCGCCGCCGTGCGCCGCCGTCTTTTCTTGAGCAGCCGCCGCGCGCGTACGAAACAAACAGGTTTCACCGCCGCCGCCGCCGAGTACGTTGACCTAATTACGTTATATTTGGACCGTACCGGCGACGCCGCAATCAGCTGTACAGCTGAAGAGTGTTTACGTGAGCATAATCAAAACATCGCGCAAATTACGTTGTTTTTGAAAAAAAAATTTTTCGCTCTTTTMTTTCCCACTCACGTCCTAACTAGACTCTAAACCGGACATAATTATCAGGCTCGAGGGACATATTCGGGAAAGRGGACAGGATCCCGCGAACGTCAGATTCTTTTCCGTACAACCGTCAATCAATATACTGGYGGACGGTACAGGAGAACAGCCGGACGCTTCGACAACGCTGGTAGATACGAACGCCAGTCACTTTTTCGGACAGCCGTCCATGGGTATTTCGACAAGCCCCACAGCAAGTCAAATGCCTACGGACAGCCTGTCGGAATACTGCGGCTATCAGTCAACCATGCGACAGGGACAGTCCCCACAACTGTTAGAGAGCGATCTGTTTAAAACCGCGGCGGAGCAGTTAAAGTTGTTAACGCAAACGTTGCCACAAACGAATGACACAAAATCGTTCGAGGCACGTTTACGGGCGCTGGAGGCAAGCATGACGAGTTTCTTTAAGGAGACACGTCTAGCAGCGGAACAGCAGCTACACAACAACACTGTCCCGCGGATAAACATTCACCCGTCGCCTGCACACGTAACAACTCGCGCGCACGACAGTTACCAGTCGGGCAGACCTTGTGTGTACAATGACGGCGACGCTCAAACGAGCACCAGCCACATTCCCGCCGCGAACGACCGACCTTTCTTCGCGCGCAATACCTTACACACACATACGGGTCACACAACACACGCGTCACAATATACACCATACGAAGCACGCACACATGAACGTTCGGTATTAATACCGTACGAGGACTTGCGTACAGCAAGAGCTTCGTTACCCGAGTTCAGTGGGACAAGGGCCGAGGACCCCGTACGGTTTATAGAAAATACCGAGTCGATTTTGGAGCAAGCTCGTATACACCCCGTGGGTTGGTGCAGGGCGGTCAAACCACAATTAAAAGGAACGGCGAGTTCATGGTATAGTTCTATCAGACCACTCGATCTATCCTGGGCAGAATTTCGGGACGAATTTTATGAAAATTTTAATAACGCCGAAATTCAGTCTCGATTGAGCGCCGACATTGTGTCAACACGACAAACGCCCAAACAGTCGCTAACGGAATTCGTGTTGAATAAAAATCAGCTAGCACGCCGCGTAACCACCGGCCTATCCGAATCGRAATTGGTAGGTATTATCGCCGGGTTAGCACACGACACGTTCCGTACGCACMTCCGGTTGCACCGACCACAAACGTTCGGCGAGCTGAGACGCATCGCAGGCGTTTTGGATCCGGCAACGTACAGCACCGACCCGTCCACAGGTTAGGTTAACCTAACCTGGACGCCTAAGCCCAAGAAGGGGCCGGACACCCCACAAACAGCACCCCCGGTAAAAAAAAATATTTTGGCAATTCATCTGATGACCAGCCACCGGGCCCATGCAAGTTCTGTGGGGAACTCCATTGGCACAGTAGGTGCCCTACCGACCCACAAGGTCGGGAAACGGCGGGGGAGTCGATGGGGACTAGTCCCCCCCATCGACTCATCACCACCCCACCCYCATCAACAAACACTATCGGTAGTACACATGGAAAAAATAAACGCAACCGAAAAGCGCGTAGTACACACAGAACAACCTGCAACGAACATTTTTTCCATTCCAACGCCTATCGACATCCGTTCACAGACCCCCAACCTACACCACCCCACCACCGAACACACTCACCTCACCGGTGACACGTGTGTTCCACAACAACCGGCTCATGGGGCAGCCGCAGGTGTAGGGACAAAGGCAACAGAGACACGGGTGTTCACCTACACAGGTGACGGGGACGCGAACACACACACCACGCATACCCCCGCATTAGGTCAGTCTGCGCGCGTAGAGCATCGGATAGGCACAGTGGCAACCGATAGGGACAGTGTGGTAATGGCGGTTAACGCCGACTACCAAACAGTCTGTCGCGGTTCAGAACCAGTTGTCCCGCACTACCGATTACAATACGACTAATAACGGTACACGAACACGCCTGGACAAAATTCCGACCCCCGCGGTTGAACTCGAATTTCCGTCAGGCTTCGTTACAGCCCTATTAGATTCGCAGGCGCAAAAGTCTTACGTAAACCCGATAATAGCCCGTAAATACGGCAAAACAACCCCCCACGGACCACCAAACAAAGTCCGAATGGCGGACGGTCACACTGCAACAACCAGTGGCACCTCCACATTCGAAGCTAGAATAGGGGCGCTCGACATAAAATTCGAAGCAACTATTAGGTGCCCACACACTGCAGCGGTAGCGGTGGCGGTGKCGGTGGCGGTAAAATAGAACACGTGTGTTCTTATGATAGTCCACACCCTGGCAGCGGTAAAACGGCCGCGGTAGAATTTCGTGTAGCGGTAATTTCGAAAACCGCTGCATCATGAACCTGATTTAAAAATTGTTGGGCCGGGGATTTAAATAAAAAGAGGCCTCATATACATTTATTAATATTATAATAATATATAAAACTAGCAAAACTTTTGGGGCCACTCCAAATTGGGGCCGGGTAACTAGTCACCTGGTACCCCCCTAAATCAGGCACTAATTCGCAGCCTGCATGCCCGAATTTTACCGCCACCGCCAGCGRTATTTATTCTTTTTACCTATGTTATCTCAATCAGTTCTACATTTTATTTTATTTTTCAGTGGTTTTTTTATGTCATAATAAAATTATTTCACTCATATTTTGGACATACCTTAAAGGGCACGATGGCGCGGCCTAATTAATATGCCACTGTATAAGCACTTAATAATATAATACATACTTGATATACTAAAAAATACATTTTGTTTCATATCGTATTAAACTATACTATATGATTTGTGGCGCCACTGTGTATTTTCTATGGTGACACGTMAAGTGGTCATTTTGAAACAGGCCTAATTACCTAAGTTTGTGTGTGTGTGTAGGTATAGGTATTTTATGTTTGTGTACAAGTTTTTATATAAGTACATTATTTCACGTATTTGTATATAATAAATGTATAAAGGCAAAATATAATTAATAGGAAATAATATAATATAAAATTAATAATTATTAAAGACACCGTCTAGACTCATTTACTATTCTAAGAACGCCAGTTATTAAATCTAAATGTCTATTTTCAATAAATGTTATTTTTAAACATATTATGTAATTTTATTAAAAATTGTATATTATAAATATTGTTCAGTGATTTGTGATCATTTGCGATTGTTACTGTGAGCTGTTCATGTCACTTGCATTTTCAATTACTATTATAGTTTAGTACCTGAATATTTCAGATTTTTTTTAACTATAAACATGTCTCTCTCGAAAAAAAATACTACCGAAAAATTTATACTAATTGTAAAAAATTATCCAATAATGTACGACATGACCTTACCAGAGTTTAAGGATGTAAGGAAAAAAGATCATATCTGGGATAATATTATAAGCCAAGAAATGAATTGCGAAAAAGGTAATTTTTAATTTTTAATTTATCGTAATAAATAAATAAATTATAGCTAGYTATAACAATTAATTTTTGTTTGTATTTTATTATTGTTTTCAATTTATCAAATTATTATAATATTAAAACTAAATTATAATACAAAAAGTAATAAGATAATATAAGTACCTACTATAAGTTAAAATAATTCAACATTATTAATTACTTAGTTAAAAAAATTAACAAACTGTTCACGTACTTGCAATGCTTCATTTGTTCCTCTCCTATATTGTTAACATCAACTTCCCCTAAAGCTCCAATTACCGATTGATCCTCATCTAGCTCTATATATTTAAGGTCACAATTCTTTACACGTAAATAATTGTGCAAAATGCAGGTTGCTAGTATAACTTTAATAGTCGTTTCTTCTTTAAGTTCGATAGGTCCTTTGTAAACTCGCCATTTTTTCGATAATATGCCAAATGCGTTTTCAACTACTCGTCTCGCTCTACATAATCTATAATTATAAGTATCCAATCTCGTATTACTTCTGGATTGTCTACGTGGAAATGGTTTCATTAAATATGTTTTTAATGCAAATGCTTCATCACCAATTAGAACCATGCGTGTGTCTTCTATTTGTCCAGGTAATGGTACAGGTTTTGGAACATTTAATGTCCCAGCTTCCAGACACTTACCCATTACAGATTCTTCTAAAATTCCACCATCTGAATTTCGGCCGTAGCCACCAACATCGATACAAATAAATTTGTAGTCTGGATCAACTATTGCCATTAAAACAAGTGAAAACATTTTTAAGTAACAATAATTTCGTGTTCCACTGTTKTTTGGGCATTTAATTGTTACGTGTTTCCCGTCAACACTTCCTATGCAGTTAGGAAATTGCCATTTTTCATAAAATCCCTTAGCTGATTCTTTCCAAACTGCAGTGGTAGGTTCTGGTAAAAACATTGGACCCACTATTTTTATAATAGCTTCACTAACCTCCACAACTATTTTACTCACAGTAGAGAAACCGACACGAAAACTATGGCCTATTGTTGAATAAGAATCACTAGTTGCAAAATACCTAAAATGTATCAATAATGTTAGTATGTTTATGAATTATAATTAATAGTTTGTTTTTAAAGATTGTTTTCTATTAAAAATCATTTGATAATTTTATTAATAAAATTTGTATTTATTTAATATAATTTTATTTTAATTATTACCTAATTACTATTATTTTAGATTCTGAGCGKAACAAAGCGATGAATCTATTGATTTTAAAATTACCTATGTGTGTTATTTTTTTTAATTTTTCTTTTTCTTGTGACTGTGTATCTACGTGATAGGTAGTCAAAAAAATATGTATATACTGTATATATATAAAATAAATGTATATATTATACATCGGATTTCGTAAAAATCTTGTATTAAATTTTCAACTTTTAGGTAGGTATATGTATATAGAAATTTTTTATAAATTATAACTTCAAAATATTTGCAAATATTCATAATTTAAAAGAATTTATGTCATTATTGAACTTCAAATACTAATAAAAAAAATGTCGACATATTTCGTAAAAATTTGAACTTTAAACACTTAGGTACCTATAAAAAAATATTATGACTAACGATTTTTGACCCAAAATTTTTTTGTCGACACCAAAAAATATCCAAACACACAGACAAACTGCAGTCTCCGCTCAGAATCGTTTTTCGTATACAATGATGTTATATCATTGAATTAAAATTTAACACCATATTATATTACAGTGTTCCTATAAATATAATAATTATTACAAAACTATTAATAAATTAATTACTGTGGTAATGATAGGAGAGACATTAAAATTAAAATGGAAGAATTTGAGAGATTCGTATCAAAAATATTTAAGAGCTAATAAAACTATAACTGGGCAAGCTGAAGGCGCATCGAAAGGAAAACACTTGGACCAGTATAAAAAATATAATTGGGCTAAATCTTTGGAGTTCTTAAGACCACATTTAAATTTTGCTAAGTAAGTATTTATTTTTATTAAAATACTTTAGGACAGTATACGATTTATTTTAAATCCATATATATCAATCTTTATTAATTTACATTATTAATATCTATAGTCTAAACTTAATAAAAATTTCAAAAACATTTTTATTCTTTAACACATTAAAATAATTTGAATAATTTAAAACAATTTAATTTATTATTATAAAAGTACTATGTCAAATGTACGAGAAGAAATAGTGGAAGACAAGTCCAATGAAAATTAAATTAGTTACCATGAAGAACAGTTGGATGGTAGCTTTTCAGAAACTTTACAACCAATCAATCCTTCTACTTCTTCAACTCGCATTCGTACAGAAAGGCAAAAAGATCACACAACAGTTTCTAATATTGATAAAGTGATAGAACATTTAAATAAGAAACAAAAAGTTACTACTGGTTCACTTGATGCTGTTGAAATGCTCATGCTGAGCCACGCAAAAACTATGAAGACATTTTCTCCAAGCGACAAGCGATCGCGAAACAACAAATTTCAAATATTATCGGCAATTTAGAAATTGATCAAATTGAAGAAAATGAAAAAAATCAAGACTCCCATCCAACTAATCAGCACGTGGGCGCGGTTAATTACAATGCAAATAMTGATCATGTAATCCATCACCAAAACGTGTATCCTACAAGCGACCAACACGTGGCTTACCCGACTCAAAATAGTGATGCTATTAATTTATCTATTGAAAATAGGACACAAAATTATACGAATCTTGATAATTATTCATGGTAAATGCACATTGTATGCTTATTATTTTTTCAAGTAATAAAATAATTTTAAAAATAGTACCTATTATATTAGTATAATAAATGTATTAAATACCTATTTAAACTAATTGAACTAATTTCAAAATTACCTTAGTGCAATCGCCAGTCGTTCTGATGGAGAAATCGGCATGCGAAAATGTGTGGGTATCTTATATATTTCATCTGAAATCCAACCTAAGATTTCATCAAAACAATCTGGAATCATTCTAAAATAAATGAAAAATCGAGTTGGGTCTGCTCTTAGTTGAGGCATTAGAGTAGTATACTCTCCAACTATTTCACGTTCTTTATTAATGTCATGAACCCAGCAGTTTCTTTTAGGCTTTCTAAAAAAAAATGTATTAATGCAATATTTTCACATTTATTGAGACTACAGTAAAAAAATTTAAAATACCTTTCTTGTTCTTCATCTTTGAGCATTGCTACTAAGAGTAAGGTTTTGTCATCTGACTCTGATTCCGATAAGTATACGTCCATTATTATAGTTTTAAAGTTAAAACGATCCAAATTATAATATAATACAAAATAATACACGAGTGTATCCGGTCAGGTATCAATCGCAAATGAACAGTTATATGCCAAAATCACAAATAAGTTATCTTATAAAGAAAGAAACAATGCGTGTTTTTACTTCTTAGTAATATATTCTTAGACATTTTTAGTAGATTTAATTTCGATTTTACATAATAAATACTAATGCATTATAAACTAAACAATTAAATATTATACTATTCATCATACATTTATCAAATGTGTATTATTGTTAGGGCATTATTAATTTTAGGAAATTGGTTGAATTAAAATATATGTTAAAATAAACTATCATACATATTAAATTACCTATAGATTCTATAGGTATTATAAATTATTAAAGCCTATTCATTCAACTTAGTACAGAACGTAAAATTAAATTGTAAAATATATTTGAAAGGTATATTATTATTTATTACATAATAATATGTGTACCTAAGTAATTATATTATACAGGTAATATAATATATACGAGTATATAATATTATAGGTAGATACCTATATTACTTATTTAAATATTTAAAGTAGATATATTAATATATTAATATTTTATATCCTATATTGTGAATATTAGAATATCTCTTGCATTATTAAAATAATACAAAATGTCAAAATATAGTTATAGGCTCAAATAGTATTTGAGATATTGTGGGGGGGGGAGGCTAAAGAATAGTTATTTTTTTGGAAGGGCTATCTCCCCAGCTCCTATTATCTACGCTTATGAATATGATATAAATTAATTTAGATTTCTACCGCCACCGCTCCAGTGTGAACAAGGTGGCGGTTTACCGCTACCGCTACCGCCACCGCCACCGCTACCGCTGCAGTGTGTGGGCACCTTAAAACTTACGGCGGTATTAAATAAATACGCGGTAGTGTTCACAGACAAAGTAGGACGTACAAAACTAATTGAACACGAAATTTTGGCAAAGAAAAAAGACGGTTCATTTCGTCTCTGTGTCGACTACAGGAGGCTCAACGAAGTAACGGAGTCCGACGCGTACCCAATGCCAGATCTCAACAAGATGATTAGGCAAATGCTGGGCGCAAAAGTATTTAGTATTCTCGATCTTAGGAGCGGTTACTGGCAAGTACCACTACACAAAGATGCGCGAAAATACACTGCTTTCCAGACGCGTAGAGGCTTATTTCAGTTCCGGGTCCTACCTTTCGGTCTCAAGAATAGTCCCATGACCTTCGTAAGACTCATGAACGAAGTCATGAGGGGGACCAAGATGATTTCGTACAAGTATACCTAGACGATATAGTAATATTTTCACGGGACGAGTATGAACACCAAAACCACCTAGACAAGGTTTTTGAACGTCTTAAGAGGTTTGGGCTAACGTGCAACACAAAAAAATGTAAAATCGGTTTACGCGAAATTTCATTTTTGGGGCACATTGTAGATTCGGAAGGGATAGAAAAACAACCGGAAAAATTGGTCTGCATCGACAATTTTCCGGTTCCACGTAAGGTAAAGGACGTTCGAAAATTTTTGGGAGTGTGCAACTGGTACAACCAGTTCGTGGATAACTACGCGGACACCATGGCACCCCTAACAAATTTATTAAAACAGTGAGTTAGGTGGAGGTGGACAGATGTTGAACAACGCGCGTTCAAATCAATAAAAAACGCGCTAGTCACATCACCAAAATGTTCCCCGCCCGATTACAGCAAACCGTTCTGTCTACAAACCGACGCAAGCGAGATAGGCGCAGGCGCGGTTCTTTTCCAAAGGGGTGACAGACCTGAGGAAAGACGCATAGTGTCCTACGCGAGCAAAAAGTTTAACGAGACACAAACAAGGTACGCCGCGGTCGAACGCGAGTGCTTGGCTGTAATATGGGCGACCGATAAATTTCGTCCCTACCTAGAGACCCGGCGATTTGAACTCCTTACCGACAACTCGGCGCTGACGTGGTTACATAGGGCCAAGGACAAAAATTCTAAATTAACACGTTGGTCACTACAATTAGCTAATTTAGATTTTAGTACGGTGAACGTCCCGGGAATACATAACGAAGCACCAGATTTGTTATCCCTCGACCCGGCACCCAGCCCACTCGTAGACGAGGAGCAACTCGAGGAAAAATTGGTCGGAGCACCAACAACTCCGACGACAAAATGTTGACCCCGAGGCCGATCGTATCTTCTCTATGTTCGAAAACCACAACAGTGGCAACACTCCCCTCACCGCAACGACGTTAGAACAGTGGCAGTCCGATGACACCACGATACGCGACGTCATCGCCGGTCTCRAGATAGACGGGCCAGCACGTAACACAAGGAACGCCAAAACGGGAATCGACACTTATGTCTTTTCCGACAGGCTCTTACGTGTAAACGTCGGCCCTAACGCGCTCATCGTGATACCAAAAGCCAAAGCACAACACGTAATTTGGAGGTGTCACGATCACGTCTTATCCAGCCACCCCGGCTGGAAAGAGACGTAGCGGGCGGTTCTACTATTGGAAAGGTCAAAAGAACGACGTAAGGTTATATGTCGGTGCGTGCCACGTATGCGCGTGCACAAAACCACTCAACACACGTCCTAATGACCCAATGCAACCYAGAACCCCCCGACAACCWTGGGAAGTTATTAGTATCGATTTAATGGGCCCATACCCACGTTCCGGTAAAGGAAAATACGTTGCGCCAGCCCGGCCCATTTCGAAATATTGGAAAATTTTTGCATCAATATTTAGCATGTAATTAGCATGACTAAAATTAGAATCTGCATGATATTGGTTTAACGGTTAAATCCAAAATTTGATGAGCCCGGCCCAATAGAAAAAATATAGATATCGAATACATAAATATACCAATATTTAGCACGTCATTCGCATGAATTTGCACGACTGTCGCCAGAACTCGCACGACAATTTTTTATGGTTAAAAAACCGTTTACGTGTTTTCACCGTTGCGCCAGCTCGGCCCGTTATAGAAATTTTGCGAATTCTGTGATTTTGACTATACCAATATATATATATTTTTTTTTACCGTTATATACATAATATATGCTAATTGTTTATTGGTTATAAGTATTACACTTTATTTGAGTTAATTTAAAATAAATAACATATAAATAACATTTGAGTCAATTTATTAAAAATTTGTATTTGATTAACATACTAAATGGTATAAAATAAAAATTCACAAGGCACTTTTGATGTGGATTTTATGGGAATGGGTTTTTTCTGGAGATCATCATAAAGTTCCCAATTATTTACTCCAGCTCTCTTTAAATAGGCTTGATAATGGCCAATCGAATTTCGTAAGTTACTTTTTCCTTGACGAAAACTTATCACTCCACGAAGCTCATACGTTGTACTTCCATGAATTAACACTTGAGGAATATCTGATAATGTAATTTGTGCCATCCTTGCTGCTTCGGTGCTGTATTGGCTCAATTCCAAACATTCATCTAAWTTTTTTTTTGAATTAGTACTTAATGAAATAATTTGTTCAATTTTAAAGACGTTATCAAAGAAGCCCGATCAAATAGAAAAATTTTTTACTGGTTTACCCAGTTCCTTAGATGCAAAAATCATGACAGTTAAATCTTATATATTATCCATAAAAAATGAACCAATTTAATTTTTACCTTAGGATTAAAAAATACTAGTTTTATGGTAGTACCTACAGCCTACAGCAACCCACATAGCAAAATAATATTTTTTAAATATTGTGAAAATGTTAATACAAAAAATGAAAATATTTGATTAATGTTGTTAGAATATTTTAAAATATTTTCAAAACATTTGGAAAACATTTTTTGGCAGGCGAAAAAATATTTCCACAATATTTTGGTAATATATTTTCAAAACATTTTGTCATAATATTTCTAAAATCATGTACTTCAAATATTTTAAAAA